GAGGAGCTAGGCATTAGCAAGCCCCAAGTGTGCCAGTACCTCCCTCTCACTTCAGAGACGTGCAGCATTACACTGGGTCCCACTGACTTAGCCTGGACATTTTATCTGCACTTAGAAGTCTGCTGTCACGTGCATAGACACCTCCATTTGTTGCTCCCAGCAAGTGGCAAAGAGATGTTAAGAAAATGAGAAGAATCCGTCTGCCCTCTCCAAGTTTGCAGACTTGTATTAAGTAAACCCCTGAAACTCAGCAATGTTACTAAACCCTTTAAGGCTAATTGAGTGCTGTGTAACTCCAGGAGTGGGGATGGGAGGATGAGGTCATCTAAAATGGCTGCTGGGGACAATTGTTTCTCAGAGAATCTAGGTTTTCTATAACTCTATTTGGATTACCCTTGAGTGGTAAGGAAGAGGAGAAGAGGGAAAGATGCTTGAGGGAGGGGATGAAATGGATGGATGAATTCCCTGAGGAAGAACACGCCCTTAAACTTGGGTCTCCGTTATTGGACTAAAACAACAAAGAACGGAAAGGAAAGGACTACTTCCTTGACCTAATCCAGGCACTCCTTTTAGGGGAGGTTTTCATTCAGGGCAAATAGGCCCAGACTGTGAGATGATGTTGAGTGATGTTAGGAAAGAAAGGAAAAACAGAGAGAAAAAGAAGGTAAGTCACTCCTAAGCATGTTAAAAAGGAGCTCTGGTGGCATAGTGGATAAGGCATTTGGCTGCTAACCACAAGGTCGGTGGTTCAAACCCACCAGCTTCTCCACGGGAGGAAGATGAGGCAATCTACTTCCATAAAGATATACAGCCTCAGAAACCCAATGGGGGTCGCTATGAGTCAGAATTGACTCGATGGCAGTGGGTTTGGTTTGTTTTTTCAGCACGTTGAAAGGAGCCCTGGTGGCACTCAGCTGCTAACCGGAATGTCAGCGGTTGGAACCCAGCAGCTGCTTCCTTAAAGATTAACCCAAAAAACCCAAACCCACTGCCATTGAGTCGATTCCTACTTGATTACAGCCTTAGAAACCCTATGAGGCAGTTCTACTCTGTCCTCTAGGGGCTTTGTGAGTCGGAATGGACAGCGACAATTTCAACACGTTAAGCACGTTGACAGGAGGCATTGGTGGCTCGGTCGTCGAATCCTTGCCTTCCATGCAGGAGTTGTTGTTGCTGTTGTGGGGTACCCTTGCCAGATTTTTTCTTCCACGGAGCCGCTAGTGTGTTCGAACCCCTGACCTTTAGCCGCTGAGCACTTAACCACTGTGCCACCAGGGCACCTTCCATGCAGGACACCTGGTTCAATTCCCAGCCAGTGCACCTCCAGCACGACCACCACCCTGTCAGTGGGGGCTTGCGTGTTGCTCTGATGCTGGGCAGGTTTTAGCGGAGCTTCCAGGCTCAGATGGATGAGGAAGGAAGGCCTGGCCACCTACTGCCCAAAAGCAGCCAAAGAAAACCCCAGGAATCACAACCATCCCACGTGCAACTGATCCTGGGGGCGGCCCTGGACCAGGCACAGTTTCATTTTGTTGAGTATGGGGTCACCATGGGTCAGGAGGCCTAACTCAACAGCAACCAACAGTAGCCAAAGTATGTTAAAGACAAAGTTGTCTTTAGACAGAGAAAGTAGTACAATCAGGATAGGGTGGTTAATTCAGCTTTGAAAAGGAACCTCAATAAATATCATGCACCATTCTGGATCGCCTGGTTTGTTTACTTAACTGTTGAATTACTATCCAGGACCATTGGCATTCGAATTTACTTGTTTGGGTTTTTTTGCTTATTTTGTTTTATTTTATTGGGGTGTGGGGTGGAGCAAGGGGGTAGGGAGTTTTTTGTTTGTTTGCTTGCTTGTGGCTGATGCTTTTGTTTTTGCTTTGTAGAAAACAAAATCCAGTCCCAGGAGAGACATTTCCTTAAGACCAAAGAATTGGAAAGGAAGGTGTCGGACCGACCCCTTGGGCTTCTCTTTACACCTCAATACCCCTGAGAGAATGGGAAGTGAGAAAGAGCAAGGCCCCATCTGCACCAGATTGAGTGCTTGACTTAGAAGCAAAGCACTTGGTCTAAACCAATACGCTTTCCTGGTGGGCTCCTATGCCGTGGTTTCCATCAAAGAATGCAGGAAATTCATCAATATCAAAGGCTAGGGAAGAACCGCATTTTTGCAGTTGGGGCAAAGGAGAGAAAAGAAATGCCTCGGGGTGCTTTCTAGGATAGTGGTGTACACATAGTAGCAAAAAACGAAGCCACTCGCTGTCCAGTTAGTTCCGACTCACGGTGATCCCATGTGTGCTAACAACTGAACTGCTCCACAGGGTTTTCAAAGCTGTGACCTTTTGGAAGCAGATCACCAGGCCTGACTTCCGAGACACCTCTAAACAAAAAACAAACAAACAAAACAAACTCACTGCCATTCAGTTGGATCTGACTCATAGCGACCCTTCCTTAGGTTTCCGAGGCAGTATCACTACAGAAGTATTTTGCCCAACATTCCTTCCGAGGAGTGGCTGGTGGGTTTGAACCGCCAGCCTTCTGGTTAGCAGTCAAGTCCCTCAGGCACTACGCCACCACAGCCTGAGACACCTCTGGGTGGATTCAAATGTGCAAACTTTCCGTTAGTAGCTGAGTGTTTAAACACTTGCATCACCTAACCAAAACCAAACCCATTGCCTACATACTGATTCCAACTCCTAGCAACCTTGTAGGACAGAGCAGAACTGCCCCGCAGGGTTTCCAAGGCTATAATCTTGACAGAAGCTGACTGCCACATCTTTCTCTCACTGAGCAGCTGCTGAGTTCAAACTGCCACCCTTTCGGTAAGCAGCCAAGCACTTAACCACTGTGCTATCAGGGCTCTGTACCACCATAGGCACTCAGTAAATATGAGTCAAAGAATGAATTAATTTATGCAGGAGTTGCTTAGCAGAGAACAAAAGTGGATTCATACACTTATGCATATACATTTCCTCCCCAATTGTAAGCACTTTTCTGTGATTTATGTCACTTTTGCCTTTAAAATGAAAGCTGAGTTGGACATACTTACTGATATTGCTCTTCCTTCCTTCTTCTTCATTTGTTACTTCCTTCTGCTATTGTTCTCCAGCTTGTTCTCAGCCCTGTTCTTTCTTTTCCCCATGGCTCTACCTGCCGCTCCTTAGGAGGGAAAAGGCATCAGAGAGATTCTTAAGGAGGGCAGCATTGCCAGCTTGAATTAAATTGTCTCTTTAGACTCTTTGTTTAATGTTTGTCATAATAAAACAGTTTTGTTTTCTTTCCTGTTGGGGATGTTATTCCTGTTTAGTGTAGACTCTTATTCAACATGTGAGGGATATGTGTTTTACACCAATGTCAATTAAGGAAGTCATCATGAATGATCAGAATTCCCAGGTGTATAGTAGAGCTGAAAAGGGGCAAGGTTGTGGTCACTGCTTGGTCACAGCCAGCTACCAAGAGGGACTGAGTAGTTGAACCTGCAGGCTTGGGACCATAGTTGCAGGGGACATCAAGCTCAATTGGCATAAC